CAGATAAACACACATCAAAACACACAGTGAACTATATATATGACGACCAGTTGCGATTAGACATTAGCCAACAAGCCTATATGCAGAATACCCAGCGAAAATCCTGTCTAAATGCCATACTAACTTGGTAGAGCTTACTGAATGGGATCGTGAGGAATATTCTCGAGAATTCTTGCAATCAACATACGCTCTGATCCAATGTCCACCGACAGCTGAATCAGAAATACAGATTTGTAACAAATTTCGCTAGAGGAGTTCATGAAATATTTAGAACCTAAAAGAGCGTAAAAGAACACAATAACCGAGACTGTAGTTGTTTAAAACTGGATCAATGTTACTACTCGCGAATCCTTGCAATAGTTGGCAAGTTGCCACGGACGGGCATGTACATTTTGGTTTCTAGTGACGAAATGTCGTGCAAAGACATGGGCTTCATTTGGACAGGTAATAGTGAAACATATGCATGATTCGGTGGTACCACAAGATTGCAACACTTCAGCCACGAACGAAACTCAGAAGTGTATTAAAATTTCGCCTCTTCCAAAGTTGGAGCGAAAATACAATTGGCACAGCTTGTGCTTTTCGTCAGACTGGGTTATTCCATAAAGTAGCAATAAAACAAAACCACAAGATTAAAACGCTAGCTAAGGTGAAAAGCATTTTTTTTTTGAACTAAGAAGATATGAAATAGGCATAGGGTCGACCGACGATGTCAAAAGGTAAACAACTAGATATCATACTTACTCTTTCGCTCGATTGTACTTCGTTGTCGATCCATGCAAAAGCTATCGGTCGTCGAAGGCGAACACTATATGAACCAGAAGTGATCTGCCCAATACGCTGAAAGAGTAATCTATTAATTGAGTGAACGTCCACGTGACATGCACCACCGATGATCAATCGCATATTGTGAACGATCCTACCTCTTCATGACCTTCTCGACGAACTACTTCCATTCCAAATGGAAGGCTCTTCCACTCAAGAGGCACTTGAGGATTGTCGGCAGGATCGAACGTTAGTAACTCCAGTCTGCGACTGAAGTTTTGTTTACTCAACTCCAAAGCAGCCGATTTTCCAATGAAATCTTCTTTAGTGAAATCAACCAGAGCTGAATATTAATTCAGAAACAACTGATCTTCAGCTCCCACTCGTTATTATCTACCCACCTCCCAATCCGCACTCGAAGGGATTCGTATCTAGGGTGAGTTCCCTTCCCCAAATTTTATATCCATGTTCCAACCGCATCATGTTCATTGTCGCTTGACCAAAGTTTACCACTCCATATGGCGCACCAGCACGCATAATTTCCTTGAACAATGTTAGTTACAACTATCTCACTAGGTTAAGTAACAGACACAGACTGTAAACAATTAGAAACAAATCCGAGCTTGTTGTATGTATTATATGAGTCGGATGTGTATTATTATATGCCTGACTTAAGGCTTCCCGCCTTCATTCTACAAAGTCGTACTGCAGGCCCGATCCTTCATTTCTCTCTTCGAAACAAATGAATCACTTCTGACCACAATTTTCAACGGATCTCTCGATCAATCGGGCGATACAAATTCTGCACGGAACGCATGCTTTGATCACCTATGCTCAAAAGATCTCATGATTAATTATCTGAAAGGAATTGAATTTTACCTTTAGACAATTTATACAAATTAGACAGAGGAGGTTTACATGGTGAACCTCTTTCGTCTAATTTGTTGACCTATCCCTAACTTTCCCACATTTTCAATGTCTCTGGACTCCTTGAAGCCGAGTTATGACCCACTTTAAATATTTGTCCGCATTTCCTCCACTACCTACAATCATATTTTTCCGAATTCTGGAAGTTTTTTAACAGCTATGAATTTCAATCGAAGCCTCGCACACCTCAGGGCAAACTCCGCATATTTCAGGAATTTGGTCACATTTCTTCTATAACCTCTAACCACGAATTCCTTCGTTTTTGAATAACTGCCTACTTAACGCAAACCGATCCACTTCAGGGGTATGGCCATATTCCTTTATGAGCTAATTTATGAGCTTTCTGTAATAGTTCCGTCCACCTCACAGCAGTTTCCGAACGTTCTAGGTCCAATAGGATAGAAGTTATGAGTTTCCGGTCACACACACATACATATACACAAACACATACAGTAGCGCTCAAAAGTCTTCGGCTGAATGTTATTCAGTCGCACTTTTCAGCCTAACCCTTTCCCTACCGGATATAATTATGCGAAATTTCGATATATACAGCATGAGTGTATTGTGAATATTTATCACTATAAACCTGCAATCTGGTCATGTTCCAGATATCCTGAAAAACTTGCCCTCAAAATCAACTGGAAATGCAGAGAGTGGTACTAGAAGTTTTTTTTTTTTTGCTATGCCCAATGTGTACGAGCGCTAACGCCGAACACAGCAGAGGAGAAAACGCGCATAAGGTGCGAATAATTGCAGATGTCGCAAACTTGCTTTCAGTGAGTCTACTACCGCAACAAACACGTTGCGCTTAGTTAAGGAGATATTGCTGCTTGGCCGTCAAATCGTGTAGGATAGTGTGAAATATGCTTGAGTTGAACATATCAAAATTTCGCGCTATTCGCTCCGCTAGGAAAGAAGTTACGCCCGAGGAAGCGTAAAAGCGTTTGGCCGAAGAATTTTGAGCGCTACAGTACAAATACACATGCAAATACAAATACCAACAGAGACACTTAGCCGACTATATAAGTAGTATAGGAACCATACGTTCATGTTTTGATGGAGCCTTTGCACTCCCCTCTTTTTCATTGAAAAGCCTGTGGACAGAGTGAACCTTTAAATGAACTTTTTTCAACATTGTGAGAGGAATCCTTATATCTATATTAGATACTTAGGTGATAGTTACAACAAAAACCATTCCACATCCGCAGTATGTGAAGCTAGCCTTTCTGATCACCGGTCACATGGCGATCGCACAGAGTATCTTTACATGAGGCAGCTGTATATGTTTCCGTTACCTGATAAAGTCTGGCCGAGTCGGCACGATTATGAAACAGCTCAAAGCTGAGTTGCCCAGTAGACGTTGAACTGCGAGCGCACACAACTGCCACCAGTCCCAGTCGCATTAAACGAGTTGAACGCTGAGGAAAGCCTTCTTCCGACACATCCGACTTGGTAAGTTCAGATAGAACCTGTAATGAAGTAGTTCGGAAGATAATCGTCACCCACTGAGGCGCTACCGAAGACGGTAGCTGTGAAAGTGAAAATTTGTGATTCTAGATTCAACGTACGCTCATGATAAGTCCAAGAACCATGTGTACGTTTACGCACACTCTTATAGATGAGTACCTACACGTACGTGCATGTTACAGAAAAGAAACAAATTGAAACATTGAAATGAGCCCATACAAAAACCATACTCTATAGTCATACTCATGCACCCCAGACTAGTAGTGACAGCACAATCATAGCAGAGGTGCGACGTAGTTTTAATGTTTTCACTCGGCAGTAAATAGAGACCACCGACTTATTTACTCACCTTCCTGCTGTTCGGTCCTACTAGAGCAAGTGAGGCAAGGTACTCTGATACACAATTCACTTGTACGTTGAACTTCTTCTCTCTCGCAGCCCGTCGGAGCCTAAAAGAGGAGTGATTCTTCACTAAGTCGTTCCTTATTTCATTGAATCACTATTTTCAGGCCTCTCTTTAAGCACTATGAACGAAGATGACTAAGGCACTATACCTAGACGTCGAGAATGTCGAAGGAATATTAGAACGAACACAATAACTGAATGCCACCGAAATCATTTTACACAGACTATCATCGTAAACAACCAGCACAGCGTAAGAAAAAAGGCACTGACAATAGGGAATTACAGGCAGAAATCCCAAAGTGAGAAGTGATAGTCGAAACGCCTTTTAACACTCACCAATAGATATCTCTGCTTTCTCTCTCAGGCTCAGTCAGCATAATAAAGGCGGAACGAGTGTCATCGTGATGAAATATTTTTAGCGGTGCGAACAGACGACCTTGTCGAGTTAGCATCAACCCGGATCCTATTTTGCCGAGAGGTGGGATCTGGGAATGAAATCACATCATAGGTCTTTACGCATATACTAGGTACAAAACATCATGAAGTGGCTATTATACCTGAGTACAAATCGCATAATTCATAAGAGCATTCGAATCTTCTCCTTTCACCTCGATTTTTCCTTTCCACGACATGTCAATAACTCCGCACTTGTTTGTCACCATTTGATACTCTCGACTTAGTGTAGACAACATTCCTTCCTCATCTATATCAAAGACTTGCGGAACCTAAACATAAATATCAGATATGAAGGGAACAAAAAACACACACACATCACTTTCCTGTGGTGAGCTACATCAAAGGCCATACCTCCCATCCATTACGAAATGAGAAGTGTCCTTTGTCCCTTTTAAGCATTCCATAGACTCCACTGACACGATCAGTTGGACGTCCACCCAATCTGTTCGTGTATGACCAATTGTAGAACATCGAATATGTTTCACGGCTTTTGTCCACAATAAACCTACAAATTTTGCTTGATCAAACTGTACAGCCGTTTTGTATAGGCAACTGTGTGTTTTTAAGAGATTTCCAAGCGTAAATGCATAGTAAATCTGACTGTCTCGTTGCCCATCTATCATATCTGCTCGCATCGGTATCGAATAATTCCAATGGTGGTTCACCATCTGCCATCCAATCAGCAATATATCTGAAAAAAAAAACAAACCTATCAATTGAACGCTTCGGAAACGTGGAGAGGATATCACAGATATGAAAAGGAACTGGTCAAAGCAAACGATTAAGAAACATCTACCTTCCTATTCCACCACCGCTACTGACACCATCTAGAAAACCTGTTGACACCCAATAATCCTTATCAAACGGTCCTACCTACGAATATAGAATACATTATGACTGGTTTAACAAATAAAATTGGGGAGCTCCAACGTACCAATGGATACCCATCCGGCGTCATGCTGAAAAGCGCGGCCTTAGCCTCCACTTGAGCATTTCTGATCGAGGGAACGAGCTCGCACGCACGATTGTGGGCTTCTTCCAAACGTGAAAATTCCGGTTGAATTGCACGAGAACCCTCTACAATAGTTGCTTCAGGGCAGGCTACAGAACCACGGGGTTAAACAGGAACTTACCGGATGGGACCCCTTTTCGATACCAATCTTCTCTGAAAACCACTTTCTCCATAGGTTCAAAACCACCAAAAATAAAATTGTCACCAAATTTGCGAAGATAAAAAGTGCTATCATGATCGATCACGGCAGGAGTATTAGGAGGAGGTGAGCTCGGCTGAAATTGTAGTTTCGTAATGGTCACATCAATCACGACTATGTTCAAAGTCAACGAGAAGAGGCAGTTGCCTTGAGCGTAGCGTACTGATGTTCAGCAATGACCATTGGTAACTCATGACCGGAGAGATGAGCAATATCGTTAGCCCAAATTCCTCCAGCATTCAGCAAATTCTTTGCGGTGACTAGTGAACCATTGGCTAACTCCACATGCCAGACACCTTTCTCCTGCAGCAAGTTAAACATTGCACACATCTCAGTAAAGCAAATAACATAGAAAAAGAATGCCCGAAAATATAGGAGTTTGCAGTTACAGAACCGAATCAGAAACTCTAAGCAGTGTCAAACCTTGTCATATCGAACCGAATTTGGATTAGAATTGATCACTTCCACACCTCCAGCTTTCGCACCGACCACTAAAGCTTTGTTCAGCCCCGAAGCTGAAATCATACCATCGTTCGTTGTGTACAATGCACCCAGAATCTGAAACAGATCAAAACTGATCTTATACTAAGCGCTAGTCTGCAGAATTTAGCAGTCGAAAAAGGAACGCCGGAAGCTGAGCACCGAGTATTGAATCTTACTTGCTTGGTGTCTACTACCGGAGCGATTTCAGCAACTTCTTCAGGAGTTAGCAATGAAGTTTTGCATGCATCTCCTTCCTAAATTCCAAGAGTAGGAAGACTTCATTGGGTGTGGGAATATTTGTAAGATCGCACGCGATTAAGCTCTTCTTGCACCAAGGCGCGAAGTTAACTTGATTGGGTGCGAAAATTCTGCAGTAATTATGCTGCCTGCACATCGTTATTAACTTATCAATCAATGAGAACATAACAGTAAAAAGTGGAGTTTCTATGGTAAATAGTATAAATTTCTAGTTAAGAATTCTGCAAAATGGGTAAAAAGCGGGTTCAATTTACACGATTTCTTTGATGTTTCCGCTCATCTCTGATATCGATTTAGTGCTAGGTATGCCACTGCTTTCTTTATAAAACGTTGCTAAGGGTTCCAGAAACGCGCTCTACCGCTTCGAAGAACTCTCACGGTATCCCCCCCCCCCCCCCCCCCCNTTTTTTTTTGAAAATTCTGCTCATACACAGCCTACCCCAATGCAGTTGAACCTTATATCACAACCCTCGCTCTATAAGTCTTGTGCACCTAGACGGCCTTCCTCCGCGGAGCTGCACCCACAAACCCCGCTAGAATCACCACAGTCCGTAGAAATACTTCTTCCTAAGTCGGTCGAATCACAGCTTCCTACTCCACTGGAACCTACTATTAACTCTGCTGAGTTGGACCAGGGCAACTCACGGCAGAGGAACAGGTAAGATAGCAACTTTTTACCCTTGAACCTTATACTAACTCTTATTAAAACTCTCAAACCCAATCATGTCGGGGTTTTTTCCTGTCATCAAAACCTTGTTTCCTCTAGGAACTCCTCTTTTACTGTTTTTATTCTCATTAGTTGCTACGTCTAACTCGTTTAGTAACGATGTGAAGGCAGCATACTTACCACGGAGTCTTCACACCTAACCAAGGTCACAACGCGCCTAGATGCGAGGAGAGCTTAACATGATGCGATCGTACAATTGTTCGCACACCCAGGTTCATTTCAAATTATTTTCCTCACACATAGCATCAAGAAAAAGGTGAACGACCTTGTAATAGTCCCTAGCGACATAACGTTTGAACTCTTGAAGTCTAGTTGGATTTGTAGCAAGACGTATTGTGCCAGCTCTTTCAAAATTAAGAGGCTGAATCATAATGAATAAAGGCGAGCAAAATAAGCCTTTTTCTTGATCAGTCAATCGCTCAATACCTCGCCAGTTTCATCTTGAAGTCTGCTATACAATTCTACTGAATACGCAAGTATTGGTTTATATCGATGGGCTGGGTGACTTGCCGACACAAGTCCCGGTGAATGGAAAGACGTTCCAGTCGGTGCCGCAACTGCTGAAAAATTCACTGTCACTATACGTGCGCTTCATAAGTATAAGATCACCCTCGATTACTGCCACCATCATCAGATTCACCACCTTCAATAACCTCCATATACATCTTTGGTCTACTCAACTTTTATAAGATTTATATAGATTATTTTCGATTTCTCCTCCGTTCCCCAAGTATAAGATCACACCCGTCAATACGAAGGTTCTGAAATCGAGTGCAGCAGAATTTGCACTTGGAGGGATCTCTATAGGAGAGAATGTGTCGCAAATATGATTGAAAGCAATATGCACTGAGCAGAGGTCATCACATGAAATCGGAATCTTCGTGAACAGGGTCCAATATGAGGGCAATTAGGAGGCAAATCGTGAGATACCTTAGCTCTGTTCGAAGATTTTTCAAGATTACAGAGCCCCAGGAGACAGGACCCCGTGCACGCTAACCGCGAACGACGAGAGGAGACAGCTATTTGTAAGAGCTATTTCGAACAGAACCTTGTCGTTAAAGCAAGTTCGATCGCAGTTGGGTCTTCCGGTGCCTAAAACTACTAAGTATAGAGAGTAGTGAAAAGGGGCAGCAACAAGCATCAATGAAGAGGGCTCCGAGGCTTACTGACCACCACAGAAAAGCACGACTTAAATTTGCGAACTGGATTTTAGAAGAGATTGGACGAAGGTCAGATTGTACTACCGATCAGCCATTTAGTTAAATATTCTCGTCCAGGTGGTATTTCCCGATGAAAATAAGTTTAATTTGCATGGCCCCACTACTACTACTGGCATGACTTACGAAAAGAGCCGATCAACTCTGGCAGCCGAAATTATGGAGGAGGAAGTATTATGGTACGGGTGCCATCTGCAATGATGTCGTGTTGGAGCTTGCTTTCGTGTTCTCCGAAATGCACTACAAGACTACCGAGAAGTCTTTCAATGGTACCTGGTGTCATTTCTGGGCCGGCGACGTGGTCTTCACTATGATTTTCGACAGGACGTTGCGATCCACGTTAGTCATTCCACGAAAGACTGATTCCATTCCCAAAATATCGAAGTTCTGGCATGGCCAGATTGCAGCCCCGACCTGAACCCGATGAAGAATCTTTGGGGCATCCTTGTAAGAAAGATTTGTGTGAACAACCCTCAGTTCCAGTCGTCAGAAAAGCTCATAAGGCAATAATTGAATTATGGGATGAAGTCCTCAGTGAGGTACTTCGAAACTTTGTTTCAGTATGCTACATAGGATATTCGATATTGGACTAGACCATGAAAGACCCGTTGACTATTAATTGTTCCCTTATGTCGCTGATAATGATTAATTTTTCAACTTCTTAAAGTGATCTTATACTTATGAAACGGTACAAAAACCAGAAATTATTTATAAAAATGTTATGGTAGATGTTGATTCAGAAAATGTCCGTGAGTGCGGGTTATTCAAGGTGGCGAATCTGTTAGTAGTGCTTGAAGCTTATCTGCTTGGCTGCTTATCCTGTAAATATCTGTAACTGTAACAAAGGTTAGGATGGTCTTATATTATGAAACGCATTAGTCCCCTCCTTAGACGAAACGGAGCATTTTGGTACTCGATGAAGATGAATAAAGCCATTTCAAAGTCTTCTCAGACGAGAGGTTCAGCCATGAATACGTAAATACATTACGTATTCAGCTTAACGAAATATCCACATCAATGTATTCTGCCCACACCATCACCCTTGCCTCATCTATGCCCTCTAGCATGCACTCATTTCCGAGCTCAAATGTTTGGAAACGTAAAGATATGAAGTGTTTTTGGAGTAACATATAACCAACTCTGATAAAAACGACCACACAAAGGCTAACCAAACGCATACCTTCTTTTTCTAGAAGAATTACATCTTTTATATTCCTCTTCGTGAGATGGTAAGCAACTGAGCTTCCAGCCACTCCGCCTCCCATGACAAGGGCAAACACATTATAGGTAGATTGGTTTCTAAAAAGCAGTTTCTGTGAGACTATGAAACTTTCTAAATAAATGAAATGCCTATAGAGTGGAAGTACAAATACATAGAATTGAACTCTTCCACCTCGTTGCTATGGCCATGACAGAGGGCCTCAGTCGGCCAACCCGCGTCAGACTCATGATGATGGTGTGATTTGTGTCTAAAAATACAACAACGTGTCAACAAGTGTCTAGAAATTGTATTTAGCCACTGCGAAAAGGGATCTATCGTCTCGGAAGAGTAGATCATGAAAGCAGTTCATCATAGTCTATTTCAAAAGTAATAGAACTAGCACAACATCGCGCTCAACTGAAACATCGCAATGCTTATGGAAACATAAAAACGCAAGATCTTTACTTTACGCAAAATCCTTTCGATAACTGATTGCTGTCTAGAACACGATTTGATTAGTAAAAAAGGAAAAAAACGGGACGTGATAAAAAAATTCCTGCGCTAAGCTCATGATCGTTTACAATGTTTTGAATCGATCGATCACGGAGCAATAAATCTGCTATGCATCAATCCTAAAGGGCGCTCGGCTGTAAGTTTGCTGAGCGCCCAGTGATAGTGAAGACTTAAAAAACTCACACTACCGTTTACGCCTGAGACAGACCCACGCAAACAGCTGATAAGACCGTTGAAACAGGCTAGAAGAAAAGTAAATCTTCCATCACTTTTACCATTTTTAAGAATACTATTTAAAAAGAGCTTGTTTCAAGCAGTTTTGAGAAAGTTCTGGGGTCTAATCTTACGGAAACCCTCCGTGGGTAAGGGGAAGAAATAAAATTCGTAATCCTCTTAAGCAGTAGTAGAATACTAGCACCGCTCCAAAACATGAACAAAATAAATTTGAAGAATGCTCTTAGTCAGCTACGAAGAACCCTCTTCGAATGAAATACGGGGACCCGATTGGACAGCTGAGCGCTAACACCACCGTCATTACAGTGCAAAAATGAATGCGGCTTATCGATGCTCTGAAGCAAACATCGCTCTCTCATAATTTCCCACGATCCCCGCTGTTTTTAAACCATCCACAAAAAAAATCAATGAGCAATTCTGCCAACATCAGTAACACTCGCGTACAATATCAAACTATTCAAAAACTATGGAAACCAAAAAGGCAAAATCCTAAAACAATATAAATTACGTTTGCATTCTATACTACATTAGCAAAAAGAACACTCGTTATACCCTATTTTATCGAAAAAAAAAATGATAAATTGCAAAGAAGTATTGAAAAAGGATGAGAAGTAAGAACCCTTTCTTTCGAGGGCTAATTCTTGACTGAATGCTCTTCATCTTCATTTTCTAAAGTTAGAATTTCCTTGAACGATTATCGAAAACATACCATGGTATGTGAATTGAATTGAAATCCTGGACTTTGCCATCCATCTTACTAGCTTACCTATTCAAAGCTATTGCAGGTGGTTCCGAAGTGGGTTAGTGGCGAGATAGGGCAACCTCGAGTAAAGAAATGATGGAAGTTTCACCGAGTGTGGATACAGTTCCTCGTTTGGCGCAGCGTTTAACGACACTGGAGCATATCATAAGGGCACAGATTTCACGTAATCAATCAGGGTGAGCTAATCCTACTGATCTACTCTACTTCCAATTTGTGCCTCAATGATAGGCGCCAAATTCGTTCAAATCGCTACGAATTTCACTGCCGGAAGATTTGCTCCGGCACGGCCGTGGCAAGTTGCCAGCTTTTCGCTACGGAAACCCCCGTTGGCAAATTGTCAGTGGTTCTCACAGCGAAAAGCTCGGGATACGATATACGGATTAGGTGGATGAAGCTAGTAAGGAAAAGTTCAGCAAGAGAAGGGTACGGTCTACGCCTGACGATGACGAGGTAGGAACAGGATCTACTATTCATCTGTCTCTGAGCCTTCTCGCGAAGCCAAGAAGAGAAGATGGTAAACAGAACTGCTAAGAAAATCAAGCTCAAGAGAAAGAAGGTCAATCTCGCTGTATTGAAATACTACGGGATTGATGGAAATGGTAAAATCCGCCGTCTTCGTAAGGAGTGGCAATCGCCGTCATGTGAAGGAGGAGTGTTAATGGCTGATCATGAAAGCCGATACTACTGTAGTCTAGTATGGTCATAATACCCTCGTCGTGAAAAAGCCAGTACTCACCTGGAAAGGAAAGGGTGGCAAAGGAAAAAATGCCTTGTTATTACTGATGAACTCCATAAAATGTGCCCAAAATCTTACCACGCATAGTAATTAATACCTTTCGTAATTTGGTCCATTTTCTTAGAAACAGAACCTTGGGAATTTTCAGGCATTTTCATGCAAGGATGAACGTGTGATACTGCCAAGAGTAGGAAAAAAGGTGGCCCGAACTGTGTTAGTGTCTGCTAAAAATGAGAATGAGTCTGAAACATTAATGTGAGTTTCGGTAATGTCCTCTTCTTGCTGATTTTTTTTTTACTAAACTTCGGTACAGTCGGTATACCGTATCCTAAGCTTTTCGCTGCGGATTTTGCAGTGTGCACTTTGAAACGGGCAAGTGTTCCGTCTTTCATGGGCCACCATG